AGAGCAAGGATTGTGTGATGGGGTGATTCTGGCTTTTGTCCTTACCCCTGACTTGGGTCAGTGGCCACAAACCTGTTGCCATCCTCGTAGGCCGTGTCAGATGCAGCCGCTGCTCTGGGCTCTGCTGAAGCTTTCCCTCTGCCCATGGGCTGCAGGAATGACAGAGCCTGGCCTGGGTCTGTGATGAGGTGTCTAGGAAGGCTGCTGCCCTCGTGGTGGGCATGTAGGGCCCTCTCCCTGGCCAGCAGTGTGGCCCACTGGGACTCCCTGTGGCACCTTCCTGGGGTACTCCAGACATCCTCTGGGGGCAGACGGCTGGTCTTTATCTTTCTGATGCCAACTCCAGAGTCCTGTACAGTCAGCCAGTCAGAGAGGATGCTGTGATGTACATGATTGTGAGGTTTGGTTCTCCTCTATGAACCCCAGACTTCCTGTGTGATGCTGAACCAGGCACCCCCTCCATTTCCTGGGTGTCTGCCTCTTTCTCAAAGTGGGGGTGGCCATCCCTGTCCAGCCTCGGATACAGGGTCACTTTCAGGACAGATGAGCTTAGTTAGTGAAGGCTTTGTCTGTTCTAAATCTAAGAGGGTGTGTGGTTGCCTTTAGATACCCCCTGGGAAGGCTTCCTTGGCCCATCCATTGGGTTTGGGGTTGTGTGTCCCCAGCCCCCACATGTCTTCTGTTAGAGTTGTGATCACACTGCAGCAGAGCTGCCAATCTGTGGTGTTGTGTCCCCTGTATACCCGCCCCCCAGTCTGAGTTTTTGAGGGAAAGGACTGTGCCCTGATCACCATTGGTGACACAAAGTTGACACTCAGTACATATTTGTAGAATTAAGAGATGATTGAATGAATCCATTTCCAACTGGGGGATGTGCTTGTGAGTCTTTCTGATCTCTCAAAGAACTTCTGAGAGAGATTAGAAGGGGGAGGAATCAGATGTCATGATTCCTTAATATTCTCTGTCTGAGTAACCTGTGGGTAGATCAGGTGTGGCTTGATCCAGCACCCAGACCGTCTCCATGACAGGGTTTCATTTTCCCCATTTCTTGGTTCCTTTAAGTGAAGCTGGTCCTATTCTCAGATCCCACATGGTGAAAAGATGACTGCAGCAACTCTGCCCCCATATCCTCTCTGACTCAGTCTAGATGGGAAATCTTGGTCCCAGCATCCCTAGGAGGTCCTGGAGCTCATTGTGATTGGACTGGCTTTGGTCATGTGCCCTCTCCTGAACCAGTTACTGGCCAGAGGAAGGCCGTGTGCTAATTAGCTTAGATGCGATTTTTGCTCTACCCTACATGGAAATGAGGAGGAGGGCATGGCAACCCACTCCAGTATTCTTGCCTGGAGAATCCCATGGATAGAAGAACCTGGAGGGCCACAGTCCATGGGGTCACAAAGAGTCAGATGTGACTGAATAACTTCGCACAGCACAGATGGAATGAGTGTGGGAGGGTGATCCTCCAGTGAAATGAAGGCTGTTGCTGAGAGAAGAGGAGAGGCATATGGAGGAAATAGAAGGTACTTTCATCACAGATAGCATTTTGTGTAAAAAAAAAAAAAAAGATCAGTGCATCCATGCCTCAATTCTGGGCCCCTTCAAGCTAAAGAGATGTTTTCCCCGTCAGTTGTCTGTATCAGCCCTGCAGTTCTGTGTGTGCATATCCAGTAAGGGCCCAGTTGCTCCACAGATGCTGCCTCCCTGGCTTAGCTGGGGACCGGCTGTTGGCACTGGGCTGTTTCGTGCTTTCTGGCTTAAACATCTCTCAATCTGCGCGTCTTGCTCATGGCATGTCGACTAGGTGGGGCCCTAGAAGGCACTGGTTACAAACTGCCCGATGAGAAAACCAAAGCCCAGAGACGTGAAGGCTCTTAACTGACAGCGTAGCCAGTGTCAAAGCCAGGACCAGAACCTGGTGTCCTGGCCCCATCTCGGCTTTCTTCCTAACCCTCGCCTTCCTTTCTACTTGGAGATGAGATTTCAGGGCCACAGACGCACACGGGAGAGACTCAGGCAGGAGTCTAGAGGACTCGTTACGGGAGGCCGAGTACCAGGATGCTGCCTTGTAGAACAGTCCCGTCTCCAGATGCAACCCTGAGCCTGCCTGCCCTTGGGTGCCCAGCCCAGGGTCTGTGGCTGGCCTCCAAGCCTCAGAAAGTCGGCAGTTAAGTTGGCAGCCTTTGCCTTTGTCCTTTCTGAGCTGAGTGATTAGGGTCTCTAAGAGTAACCATTATCTGTGTGTTTGGGGAATGCATGTTTTTCACACATGCAACCCTTCCAGAAAGATTTAGCCTGGGGATGCAGCAGACGGGCTCTCCACTGAGGGCAGATACCAATCATTTTTACAATTGTTTGCAACAGGAGAGGAAGCTTGAGCTTAACAGTTCTGTTGTGGATGGATTTGGGGGAGAAGCATGAATGAATTGTCAACAGGATGGCTTCTACTTTTATCCTGGGATTTGCTGCCGTCCCCGCGCTCTGGCCGCCCTGCTCAGAGCCCCAGGATTTACATTCCTTGCAGGTGTGGGCCTCATTGTGTGCTGAGGTCTCAGGGGCCCGGCTGGCATCTAAGGAGAGAACCTGTCAGGTGTGTCCAGGGAGGGGGCATGGTCTTCAGAGGGGAATTTGGGGCAGCCCCCACACTTCTTCAGTTGGGGGAGAGTCCGCAGCCAGGGACACAGACCTGAGCGAGTACCCACCGACCTCTGGAGTTGATCTGAGCCCCCATAATGTTTTAAAGAGCCCTCGACAGCAGTGACCAAGAAGGATAGCTTTTTCAGCCTCTTGCTAGAGGGGGAAAAAAAAAAAAATCCTACTCAGAAATGCATTTGCGGGAAGTTTGAAGTTTGAAGCCCTCCAGCTGCAGCTTGGCGGCCTGGGTGGTCGGGTGGGTGGGACGGTGTCCTCGAGTGGGCGGGGAGTGGAGCATGGCAGCTGAGGAGCACGGCCGGGTGGGAAGGCTGAATTTGCACCTAAACAGTGGTGGTGGGTGTGCTATCTGACGGACCTGGGTTCAAGTCTTGCCTCTTGTTCTGCAGCTGCCAGTACTTGGGCATGCTACTTGGCCTCTCTAAACTGCAGTTTACTTATCTATAAGATGGAGATAATACCTCTTTGGATATGATGAGAATTAAGTGAGAAATTGCATGTAAATCTCTTGGTACTATCAATGAAAGTGTTCTTTGCTGTTATTACTAACAGCAGTGGTGGTGGTGGTGTCAAAGGTGCTCTGCCCCTGGTCTCCATCAACACTCCCCCAAAGACCCCAAATAAACACCAAATCTTTGTAAACATACTGTGTTTCTAGCCCCACTCCCCCTTCCATGCAGACGACCACCTTTAAGCTCCTGTATTGTAGAAATTCTAGAGCCATCACTAATATTGATACAGGTGATATTTCAAAATGATTTGTCACTTTCCAAATGTCAGGCAGTTCTGGGTGGGACAAAAGCCAGAGTGGGTGATTCCTGATTCAGAGAGGGGGCAGGTGGGAGCTGAGTACACGCATATACCTGGGGTGGTAAAAGGTAGGACAGGTGGGAAGACGGGCAGAGGCAAGTAGAAATGGAGGCCCAGGATGGTTTCCCATCCTGCACCCCAATAATGACCAGACCAGGCAGGTAGGGGTAAGGTCACCACTGGTCAGCCTCAGGGGTCTGTGCACCTCTCTCAGGGGTCTGTGCACCTCTCTCAGGGGTCTGTGCACCTCTCTCTTTGTGTGACGTGGTGGTGGATGCTCTGCTGACAGTTTGACTCTCTCTCACAGAAAAGGTGGCGGGGTTGTTCATCCCAGGTTTCACAGTCAGAAGAAGAAGAGTCGTGCCTGCTGAACGCAGGCCTGTGCCTCACCTTCCCCAAACTCACTCTTTCAGAAACATGCCCTCATCAGTTTTTAGGAGTGCAAGGTAGATGGGGCAGGGGCTGCATCTTGACACTCAGGCCCTGGGGATGGTCATCTGGGTCTTCTGCGAGCGTCACCATGATCTGGCTCTCAAGTGAAGTGCCTGGGGAGTTTGGAGGTGTCCCACATGGCCTAGGCATCTCAGGGCCCCACCTGTGTCTGTTCACGCTCGTGCCCCCAACTGTAGCAGGCAGTGCCCGGAGGCATAGTTTCTCCAGGAACTCCTCTCAGCCCTCACCCTGGCCTCCCTGGTGGGGTGGGTGAGACCCCTGAGTGGGTGGTCTTCTGCAATGGAAGGTGGTGCTGATGCCCCGGTTGGGAGAAGTCTGCCTGGCCCTGTCCTCGCTCTAGCGTGTGGGTCCCCTGGCCTCCCAGTTGAGGACAAGTTCCACTCTTGTCATTCTCCTGCCTCCGAGGGCCTCTTCTGTTTTGTTTCTAGTTGTTTATCTGGTTGACAGTGGCGATCCCAGCCCCAGAACACATGAGCCATGGGGCCACGATCTGAGTTCGTGCTGTGCTGTGTCCTAGGAACCTGGCACCATACTAAGTATTCAGTGTTTCATCATGTTCTTGTTTTATGCCAGGCCCTGTGCTAGGACTGGGGTGCAGCAGTGAGCACCACAGATGAGGCTGCACCCCCAGAACTTAGCGTCCAGGGGTGGATCCTGGGAGCTCAACATGTGCTGGTAGGAGGAGCGATCTAGTGAAGGGTCCAGGAGCCCCCCTAGCCAGAGCAGGGTCCCTGACTCTGTCGGCTCCTCTGGACACGGGCGGCAAGACTCAGGGCCGCCCCTCCTGAAGGTGGTCAGGACGAGCTCCCTGATCGCTTCTGATGAAAGGGGCTGGCGCGCAGCCCGGGCCTCGCTCGCCCGACCTGTTGGGGCTTCAGATTTGTTCCATCTGAGCAGTCAATTAATTAGTAATTGGAGCTCCCATCATCCCGGCTCCGAGCGAGTTGCTGGGCGCCCCTCCTTCTTCCTTTCCATTCGCTCAAATTGAGCAGCCAGGTCCTGTGATATCATTTGAAACCCCGCCAAGAAGCAATTAACATGCTGTTTGCTGACAAGGATTTGCTGCCGCTCCAGGAGCAGGGGCCGGGATGGGAAGGCCAGTGGCGGGGAGCCGAGCCGTGAGAGCAAACAAAGGTGCGGATGGAGGTGCTGCTACCGGTCTTTGCAAATTGCCAGGCCAGGCGGGAGTGGCCTTCTCCCCTCGGACCTCCTCCTTTCTCCCCTCCCTGCCCAGACCTGCAGCTGCAGGGGTGGCCCTGAATGGTAGAACAGGATGGGTTTCTTGGGAATTCTGATGACAGCGGCCAGTTACTGAGCTCTTACCAAGTGCTAAGTGCACTGGACTGAAAAGCCCATTCAGTCCTCACAATTACCTGGAGAGAGCCCATTTTACAGGCCAGGAAACTGAGGCACCAGAAACGAAAGGGCTGGCCTCAGGTGACCCAGGCAGTAAGAGGTGCAGGAGAATCTGAGCGTCTGGAAAAGCCTGCCTGTTCAGGCGGGTACCCAGTGTGGATAAAAGGGTCAACCCCTGGGCCCACCGCCAGGTCACGGTGACTTGCTACGGGACGCGGGCTTGATAAATGGTGGTGTTGCGTAATCAGTGGCTGCCTCTGCAGGGTGTTAGGTGGAATCTGGCGGAGTGGCTGGCCCAACCCAGCCTTGCTGACAGAGCAGAGGCCCACGGCCGTGAGGGGCCCGCCGAGGTGAGGCTGAGGGGCAGGGCCATGTCCCCGTGCCGGGTGGTTGACCCTGTGACAGACCCGCACCTGTAGGTGGCGGTGTCCTGATTGGAGGGGCCTGGGAGGCCTCTCTCAGGGGCTGGGGTCCCCATGCTCTGCTTCCCCACCTTCTCAACAGCTTTGGGGCTGGCCTGTGGGGACTCCTGTCGTCCCTGCTGTCGACTCATCCTGGGTGGAATTATGTACAGAAATTAGTCAACGGAGCTGGTCCCCGGACCACAGGCAGCTCCCTGCAGGTGCAGTGCAGGGAAGGCTCCTGGAAGGACCTGGAGCGGTAGCTTCATGGGTGTGTTTTGTCGGGGAGGGGACTGCTCCTTGCAGGGCAATACAGTTGGAGTCTGGTGGCCCTGCCCACTGCCCAGTGGCCTTCCCCCCATCCTCCTGAGAAGGGAGAGCAAGCTCTGGCTTCTGCCGGCTTCCAGGAAGACATGGAGGCCCTGAAACTGGAGGTGCTGGCGCTTCCCACCCCAAGCCCTTCCCAAGCACCCCATGTGCCAGGCGCAGAGTCGGGCACTGAGGATTTGGGGGACAACAGCACGTGGGTACAGTTGTCTGAGATCTCCTGGTGTAGGAGTTGGAAGAATCTATGTTAGGTGGGGCAGGCATGAGAAATGCTGTCCCATAAGAGGGTTCCTGGTTGATTTCCTTAAGGTAGTATGGACCCCGGGTGACACTTGTGCAGGTATGTGGTGCAAAAGGGGAGATAGCAACAACTGTGTCCCTCTGCCTGCTTCCAGCCATCCGTGCCCTCCCGCAGAGAGAGGCATGGTTTCTAGGGCGTCCTTTATGTCCTGTCAGAGATGTGCTCAGTCAAGCATACAGGGGTCAGGGCTTGTGCATGTATCTGATACCTCCCAGCTTTTTCCTTTTTGTGAATAGCAGTGTACTCTATATGCCAATCTGCCTGATTGCTTTTTCCCCCTTTATTATTTGGCACATCTTGACACTCATTCTGTATCAGCTCACACAGAGCTGCCTCATCCTTTTTATCGGCTGCATATTATTCTGTTGTGTAACCAGGCCATACATTTTTGGACCAGTGCCCCCTGGATGGGCTTTGTGATTGCTTCTTGTTTTTGCTGTTAACAAGTGAGCCTGCTCCAGTGAATATCTTTGTTAACATGTGTGTGAGCAGGAGAAATGCCCACAGTGGATGTGCTGGCATGTGGCTCCATGCAGAGGTTGTCCCACTTTTCCTGTCTTGCCAGCAAGGTGTGAGTGGCTCGCTTCCCCATATCTCCACTAATGAGGGACTGTATCAACTATGCTGATCTTTGCCAATCTGTTGGTTGAAAAGTGGTATCTCATTGTGGTTTTGATCTGCGTTGATACAGTTGTGGGTGGCTGAGCTCTTTTGCATGTGTTGCAAGCCACGTGTAGCTTCCAGGCAGGTTTAAGCAGAGGGCCATGTGAGTGGTGGTGTGATCCTTCACTGGAAGGCCTGCTCTCTCTGGAACCCACTAACCAGTGCTCGCTGGGTGACACACGCTGGTCAGGAAGGGGCAAAGGAGACCTGGGATGGGGTTGCCTGGGCCACTTTGCCAAAGGTCAGGTGAGGAGGGGTTTGCCTGCCTGGAGTGCTGGAGTGACATGGCATTGAATTCACTTCTCTCTGGTGATGGAGAGGAGAACTTGGGCTCTTTAGACCAGGGCAAGAGTGGGGGGCAACCTTCTCCCTGCATGGCAGGCAGTTCTGCCCAGAGGCTGGGAGGTAGATGCCTTGCTGTCTCTAGAGCTTCCCACTCTTGGGACTTAGAGCCAAGGTGACTGCTGTGGGACACCCTCCTCCTCACTGAGCCGCCAGGCTCCAGGCCAGGGCATCCTCGCTGCCTAGAGCTTTCTGTGCTGCGGGGGCCATGGTGGTGATGGGTGAACTTCACTTGTGTCCATCTGGTGCGTGGACCAGCTCCCACCCCCTGTCCTGTGAGCCCCCGTGGTTTCAGCCTGTTCTCCACGCTCTGCCTTCTCCTCTCCACGCCTCCGGCCCCAAAGCAAGGGGGGCGAGCTCTCAGCGCTTCTCGCCTGGCTCCTCCCTGACTCCGGGCTCTTCCCCTGCTCTCTGGCTTGACCACCGAGGCTCCGTAGTGTACTCCTTCCCCTTGGGGAGTGGGCATGGGGCTGCCCACCTAGAAGCCTCCATGTATAAGAATGAAGTGCCCCCTCTGAGCGGCCCCTGCCTCCAGTTCTCCTCTCCAAACTCCGTCTTTGTCCAGATCTGCCAACCCGCCCTCTCCAGAAATCGCTGTGCCTTTGGGCCTCTGTCTGATCTGTTCCCCAGGCCTACGATCTTCTTCCTTTACTCCATGCTTACATCCCCTGAGATCGAAGTCAGGGGCACGGCCCAGGAGTCATTCTTCGGCCACACTGGCCTGCTCTCTCTGCCTAGGGGCCACTTTGGGGTCAGTCTCCTGGGGTCCAGGGGACCCCTGGCAGTGATGATTGTGGTCATAATCACAGCCCGCAGGCGTGGCGAGTGGCAGGTGTGACCCTTGAGGCTGAGGGTCTGAGCGCAGAGCTAGTGCCTGTGGATGTTGGAGGCTGAGTCCCGCCTGGGAGAACAGGTGCTCCCTCCTCACCTGGGACACCAGCCTTGTCATCTCGCTGCTGCTGCAGCCAGAGCTCCTAACCCAGGGCCTGGCATGTGGTGGTTGCTCAGTAACTGGTGAGGGAGGGGATGAGGGGTGACGAAGCTTTTGAGAAGAGCGACAGTCGGAGCTGCCTGGTTACAAGTCAGTGGACTGAAAGGAGGAGACGCTTCCAAAGGCTGTGCGGGAGTCCACATGGGTGGACCCAGGTGACGAGGGTCTGGGTCAGGGAGGAGAGTGGGGTGGGGAGAGGAGCCCACTCTGACAGAGGCCTCCTGGGGCTCTCTCTGTGAGCTGGGCACAGGCTTGCCCACCTGTTCAGTCCCTCTGCAGAGCAGGGATAGCCACTTTCTCCTTGAAGGTGTCCAGCACAGCGCTCACACGTGGCTAGCACGCAGCAGGTGCCCACTGGGAGGCGCTGGCTAAACTTGGACCCGGAGCCCAGGTGGTGAGGCATTTTCAGTGGGTGCTCTGCACCTTTGCTTCACAACCAGAGGTAAGGGCCAGGCAGAGCTAGACATGGATGATGGCTTCGGCTTTTGAGGTTTCTGGTGTCATTTGCTGAGGAGGAGGTTGCCATGCAGCTCACTGTCTGTAAAGAGCCCAGTGCAGGGTCTGGGCATAGCAGGTGCTTAGCCAGTGGGAGCCATTTTGATGGTGGTGATGGTGGTGCTAGAAGCCAGGAGGAGAGAGGGCTTGCAACCCACAGGAGTCAGAGCAGAATGAGAGTGACACCCTGGATCAGCCCCTCTGGGGACTGTTGTGTGGCCTGCGACATCCAGCCGTGGTAGCAGAAGGCTGGCCTTGCCACTCTGGTCTGGGGCCTCTCAGGACAGGCTCGGCAGGACTCAGCAAGGATGACTGTTCTTGTGCCCTCCTGACCTGTCCAAATAGATGAGTGTGTGGTCCTGCCCTCAAGACTGTTCTGGTCCCTGCTGGCTCTGGCTCTGGACGGACAGGTGGGCTCGAGGCTGGCACGCAGAGGGGAGAGAAGTCATGGACACTCTGGGGGCCTGGTGTCTGGCCAGGACCTGCCCTCAGTCCTGTGCCAGGCTGACGTCACCAAGCGTGAGGCCCGTCACCGGGCGCAGGGGTGATGAGACGGCAGGAAGGTCTTGGGAGGCCAGGCAGCTGTTGTTGGCTGGCTTACCTGGATTAGGCTTTTCATGTGGAGGGAAGAAAGAGATCTGCTTTGTCGCAGCCGGGGCATCAGGCTGGAAACACGGTTGGTGTTCCTGGCAATCCCCGGCACTCTCCAGAGCTTATTTGTTGCCTTTCCGAGACACGTCCAGGTGCTCTCTGTTATGATAACAAGTGGTGACACAGAGAGCTTGAAATGGGATAAACAAACAGACTAAAAATAACTGGATTTGGGGTGGCTTGGCACCGAATCCAGCTTTCAGGCTGTCGCTGCTCAGCCAAGGGTGAAGGCAGGCATCATCAAAGGCACCACGACCCTCGGAGCCCTGGGGGAGCTGGGGTAGGGTGTGGCTGAGTCCCTCTCCTGTCCCCACTCCCGCCACCGTGGAGCTGTGGGCTCCCGGAGGGTGGAGGTGCCAGATGGTGCCTGAGACCCCGGCGGGAGGGGCGTGGTGGGCCCGGATGTGAGCGAGGCGGTTTATGTCTGTTTGGAGGAAGCTGGGCCAATGTTTGGACATCTTTATGGTTTGGGGAGTTTCTTGGCCTCACCCAGAGGAGCCATGGTTGCATCAGAATGAGAGGTCCTGTCCTCGGTGGCCCATGCAGTGGGAGAAAAGAGCCAAGGGAGCCACTCTGGAGTCTGTGGAAAGATGGGGAAATATGACTGCTTTCTAATCCCAGGCTGCTGCTCCAGACCACCTTGTGTCTCATGAAGGGATTTATGTGATGCGTGGGAAGGCTGCTCTGGGCAAGGTGGAGGAGGAGGATGGGAGTCATACCTGTGCGGGGTTGCACATTCAGGATGGACGTACACCTTGCAGGAGGCCTGGCCCGAGGAAAGGCCCGTCACGGGGCACAGAGAGGAGAGAGACCTGGTGCAGGACCCACTTCCTCTGCCGTCGCTAGCTGTCCATCATTGTTGATGCTCTTAGAGATCACAGGCTCGCTTCACCACTGATCCCAGGATTCCATCCGGCAAACAAACGTCCACCCTGGCAGTCATGGGTCCTGCCTCCCACGTCTTTGTTTCTCCTCCTGACCGTGGGGTAGGACTGAGCTTCACTCTCCCCTGATGTTCAGTGTGGCTATGTAATGAAATTACGTGGCCCGGCGTGGAATTCGTCTTACTTTCTCTTTCCCTCTGGCACAGAAATCCAGGGAATAACTAATCTGTCTGCTCAGGCCCCAGAGTGAAGACAGCAGGGCAGAGACCCCAGCTGACCCCATATTTCCCCATCAACACACAGTGGGTGTGTTGTGTAGGCTCGAGGCTGCTTGTTACTGCAGCATCACCTAGCCCATCCTGATGGTCTAAGTGGGGGAAAATCCCCCATGCCTAGCCTAAGAATCAAAACCTAAGAGCTTAGAAAGGTAGCAAATGGCTTTTCACAGCACCTCTTTGCTCACTAAGTGCCACTTCCACTTTATCACGTAACCCTGTTTATCTTCACGTGCTGTGATTAGTCGCTCAGTCGTGTCCGACTCTTTGTGACCCCGTGGACTCCTCTGTCCATGGAATTCTCCAGACAAGAATACTGGCGTGGGTTGCCATGCCCTTCTCCAGGGGATCTTCCCAACCCAGGGATCGAACCTGAGTCTCCCTCACTGTAGGCGGATTCTTTACTGTCTTAGCCACCAGGGAGTTTCGTATCTGTTTACAGGTTTATTGCGTCTCCCCTCTAGAAAGTCAGCTTCATGAAGGCCAGGACCCCAGCCCTCAGGCTTACATCTGTGTAGCCAGGGTGTACAGCGGAGCTGGTCCAGGATGGCAGGGCCATACGGACTCGATGAGTCCATGGATTTGGGAGGTCCGAGGGGTGCGGTGACCTAAGGTGGAGACTTTTGAATAGGCTTGTTTGGTGCTGACAGCGGAGTGGGAGCTTGACGAGTTATTCTTTGAGTGAACGAGCTCTAGGGGAGAGGGCGTGGGGTGGTGTCGTTTCATAATGTGGGAGAAGGCTGAGGGCTCTCCAAGAGGGGAGGCTGCGTGCCCCATCTTCTCTGTGCTCCCGACCAGCTCCATGCAAGGAGCAGAGGGGGAGCTACAGTTTCTTGAGAAAGGAAGAGCCATTGGGATGGTGACTCAGGCCACCCCCTGCCGCCCGTCACAGTTCGCTTGGTACCGGTCCAGGGAGCAGAGGGAGGAGTGTGAGTGGCTGGACAGGTCTCCCAGGCTGCAGAGTTGAGCCCTGTGATGGGTCCAGAAGGTGTGAGAAACCGCATGCGTACGGGTGTGAGAGAGAGCATGTGAATGAGTGAATGAAAGCTGGGCACCACCAGGACCAGCTTTGTGAGCTCTCTGCCCCAGAGGACTCTGTGCTGCCCAGGAGGCTGGGAGAGCCAGGAGCCCCAGAGAGAGGGCCAGGAGCGTGGAGCAGGTGACCCGGTGGGGGTGCTAGTAGGGAAGTGGCTCCAAGGCCTGTCCTAGTCTGGAGTCTGGCCTTTGTGCATCTCAGAACCCAGCAGTCCTGGGCCTTGCTGGGTATCTGCTCTTCTCTGTACCTGAGATGTTCTTTCCATGTGGTGACTGGAGGTCTGCTCTGAGCATGGCATCCTCTGTGAAGCTCTCTTTGACCACTAAGAGCTGGTGTCCACCTCCCCACCCCAACCCAGACCCCCACACTGCTCCTCTGTGCTCACACAGTTCTCAGCTCACTTCTGTGAGAGTGCCTATCTCCCTGACCACGTTACCTCCTCGCTGGCCTCCTCCCCCCAGCAGATGGCAGGGCAGGGCTCTTATCTCACTTCTGTCTCCTCACTTGCCGCCTGGCATACGGCCACCACCCCATCAGTGACTGTTGATGAGGGACATGGCGTCTTCAGGTAGCTGACAGCTCTTGGTTAGAAGAGGAGGCAGTCTGATGGCATGTCCTCAGCAAGAGGATCGAGGCCAGGCCACAGAAGTAATAGACAGGTGTTGGCTCACTAGGAGGAGGACCTTCCCATCAGAGTGTCCTCTAGGGGCCCGGCCACCTTGAGGCCCCTTCCCATCTCTGGAGGTGTGTGAGCAGAGATAATGTGACCCTACCCCTCTCCGTTCCAGAAAAGAAGTGTAAGCATTAGATCTTCCAGCTCCCTGTCAGATTTTACTGGCCCTGCAGTCTGGGGTCTAGAGCAGCTGGGGCATTGGGTAGCTGCCAAGGTGCTAAGCTGAAGTGTTACAGCCCCAGCAGTTCCCAGGTGACACGGGTGTGGTCTGAGGGTCCCGGCCCTGACGGGTGCTCACCTTCTGACCTCACTGAAGGGTGGGGTTGAGTGGCCTCGTCAAGCTGCCCGGAGCGCTGAGATGGGAGAGGAAGCATGCCCGGCCCATGCTGTGTGTGAAAACCCTCGTTCCACAGCAGGTCGGGCAGCCTGGGTGGGGCTGAACCATCCCTGACCCCACACCCTGTGGAGACTCCACTTTCCTGTGTCCTGGTAGGGTTTCCTGAGGGAAAGAGCACCCTGGTCTCCTCAGAAGGCTCAGGGTTCCCCCCACCCCAGCCAGCGGACGACCCCCTGGCTGTTGGATGGCCTTATGCCTGGCTCCAGGCTTCTGAGTGGTCCCTAGGGCAGTTGGAGGAGGAGGCATCCCCAGTGGCAGGTTGTTGGTATATAACGAGGGGCCTGTGGCTCAGTGTCTCCATGATCCACGTGCTTTCGGCTGTGCGGGAAGGCTGCTGTTCTTGGTCCTGGGGGCTCAGTTCTCTTGCCTGTGGCTTCAGGAAGGGGTGCCCACCTCTCAGTGTGGTGCCCCTGACTGTTCATCGGGGCTACTGCTGGATCCACGTGTCCTGACCCACCTCACCCGGCTGAGCCCTCGTCAGGTGGGTCATTGAGCCTCTGTCCCAGGATCTCTGGCTCCTGCCTCGACCTCCCCTGCGCTCTGCCCCTCCTCCCCTGCAGCCTGGCCACCTTGGCCCCTAACAACGCCGTGCTCTCCATCTGGGAGCTTTTGTGCACGCAGTGTGCTTGCCGCAGACTCTTGCTGTCAACGACTGCTCCTCGTGGAGGGGACTGTGTGACTGTGATGGAGGGCATGCGGGGCGGATATTTGCAGAAGGTGCGTGTCACCCTTGCCCCTGTGATGGCGGGGCCAGTGCTGCTCTGACCCCATGCCAGCTGAGCGGCTCAGCCTCAGGCCAGGCATGCAGTGGAAGGCCAGTCACACACGCCTGGGCTTGGCAGACCTGTCTGGCCCTGCAGGAGGTGAGCCACAGGTGGGTCAAGGCTTCTCCCTTTGGACAGGCTGTATACCAGTGTGACCTCTGGGTGACCTCACTGCCCCTCTGTGTGGCCTTGGCTGCTGGCTGGGGTTGGTGGATATGGCCCATCACCCTGGTTGCTGAGGTGTGCTGAGCCGAAGAGCTGTCTGATCTGCTTACTGAGGTGAGTGGCAGTCCCAGCAGAGCAGGAAATGGAGAGGTGTTGGAGGAGTCTCTTGCCCTGTCTGAACATTATAGCTAATGTGTACAAAATGGAGTTCCTGCCTATGTGTGGTGTGGGGGAGGTGACCTCTTCTAGGGGCTGCACAGCGCTCTGAGCTTTAGTTCTCTTACCTTTTCAGAGCACCTACTGGGTGCTGTTCCCTACGCGGGACAGATGAGGTCCTGGCCCTCATCAGGGTTCCTGAGGGGACGTGCAGACTCAGTCTGAGGAGTGTGTGTGTGTTAGTCGTTCCATCGTGTCCAATCTTTGCCACCCCATGGACGGTAGCCCACCAGGCTCCTCTGTCCACGGGATTCTCTAGGCAAGAATACTGGAGTGTGTAGCCATTCCCTTCTCCAGGGGATCTTCCCAATCCAGGGATTGAACCAGGGTCTGCTGCATTGCAGGCAGATTCTTTACCGTCGGAGCCACGAGGGAAGTACCTGGTGTGAGGAGGGGCTGGAGGATTTGGGTGGCAGGGGTAAGGATGGGAGAGGTATACTTGTCGCTGGGTTGAGCCCCATAATGAAGTGGCAGCAGCGAGATCCTGGCTGCTCCTGTGAGGCTGCCTGAGCTTTTGACTTTCGCTGGGACCCGAGAGTTCAGTGAGCCCAGCTGAGCTGTGTGGCAGGGTACCATGGCATCATACCCTAGAGCCAATGATAGTGTCTAATTCTTAATATATTAACCTAGTATGCTGTTGTAATCAATACAGTTTCTAGCTGTATGGTGGTCACATGTGTGAATTGGTCTCTCCCTAAACCTCACAGTCTGAATTAGCCCCTAGCCCTCCCACGGTGCCCTGTCTCACTGTATTCATGGCATTCTGCATCACTTGACATTTAACTTCATTCGTTACTTGCTGCTAGAACAGAAGCACCCTGAGGGTGTGGATGATTCTGGTTACTGTTGTGTCTCCTGAGCCCAGAGCAGGCCCAGCACGGGGTAGGGGACTGGCCATTTGATCAGTGGTGAATGCATGGATAAAATGCACCCTGGATTTCCTAGGAGTCAGGGGAACTGGGCGTTGTTGCTCTTCTGTATTCCAGAGGGAGGCAATGAGCCTCAATGAGATGAAGTGACAGGCCAGATCAGTCAGCTGGTTGATGCCAGCTTTGGGGTTTGGACCCCTGCACATGCACAGGTCAGGTGGGTATGGGCATGCCCTGGTTGCAGTGTGTGAGGGTAGAGACTGGCATGCGTAAAGGCTGTGTGTGAGCAGCAATCACTTTATTGCATGTGGCACGTCGAGATGGAAAGGCTTTGCAGGAATTTTGCTTTATGGGTAATAAAGGCCTTTATGTGCCTATAATGTAGACGTGGGTCTAAAGAGGATTCTGCCCTGCTTTCTACCAAGGGGCTTGGCAGAGACTCCTGTGGGGGCTGGAGCTGCTGGCCCTGCTTTGAACAGACCAAACCCCAGGGAGGAGGAGATGCTGGCTCTGAGCATGGCGTGGGGCCTGCCTGGGGCAGGTTGGTGTCCACGGGGCAGGGTGAAGTGGCAGCATCCCTGGGGTGAAATGCAGGTTTAAGCTGCCTCCGTGGGAAATGTGATGTTATGTAGCTCATTAAATCCTACAGGAGCAGCGAGGAGAGCTGCTTCCAATTATCAGGATGAAAATTAATGGAATAAAACCTTCAGCCAGGCTGCCCGGTGGTGGATCAGGGAAGACTTGTGCTGAATGGCCAGCATGGGCCAGGAAGTGCTGGGGCAGTCACATGGGTGAGCCGGGTGAGCCGAGTGAGGAAGCAGGGACTGCAAATGATTGGGCCGGGGGCTGGGGGGTCCTTGCTAATTCTTACAGCATGGTCGCCCAGACCAGGAGGGAAATGGGGCTGAGCAGGCAGCTGTACGAGGCTTGGTGTGCGGAGCCCTGGGACGGGAGGAGGCCCCTTGGCACCCTGACCAGCCTCTGGGGCTGAAGGAGAGGTGGGGTTTGCTTTCTTGCAGAGGTGATGTGGACCTGTGTGCTGCCCCTGAGCTTCAGACCTGGGGCAAGGCTGGGAAGGAATTTGGATTCCCTTTTGAGCATGTGCCTGAAAGTCTTGTCCTTGGGGGACTTGGTGAGACTCAGGCACTGTGACAGCAAAGTGGGGAGCCCAGGTGAGCTTGGCTCCTGCTTCCTCTGGATTCTGAGGACCAGCTCAGGCCCAGGTAATGATTATGCCACTGCTGCTACTCCGAGCGGGTGGTGGTGTCTCGAGCTGAGAGTCACGAGTCCTGGCCCTCCAGGTGGATCAGAACCCATTTGTGCAACGGAGCAGGTCTGGCTCATGGCTGCCTTTCCTGTTGGGACTCACTTTCGCAAATGCTGCCTGAGTACTGTCTGCCACCATCCAGCCAGTGTGCACTCAAGGGAGTGGGCTGAAAATTTAGCCAGGTCCACGGTCCACTATCAGGTGGGCTCCCCTGGCTCCCCCTTGGTTTAGGCCAGTAAGCACTCAAGTCATGTCAATGATCAGTAACAACCTCAGAGACTGATACTGTATCATCTGCATCCTACTGGAAAAGAAGCTGAGGCTCAGAGAGGTGAAGTGACTTCCTCAAGGACGTATAGCCAGGAGGTTGTGAACTGAAAGTGGAGCGTGTGACTCACATCAGAGCTGGTACTCTGAGGGGCAGCATTCTGCTGTCTTCCTGGAGAGGTGGAGTAGACCTCCTTTGATGGCTCTCAGAGCTTCCCCTGCAGCATTGGAGGACTTCTCACATCATTCTTTGCAGGTGGCGAGGGTGACATTCTTAGTTTCACTTTGCCCGGGAGGAAACTGCTGGTGGCTTGCAGCGCTCACACTTAATTGATGCCCATCTATGGAACATGGCCCCAGGATGATGGGTGTGTTTGGTTGAACTTGTTAAAGTCCTTGGCTGCCAGTAGTGTGTCATGGGGCCTCTTGCCTGGAGTTCCCTTCAGTCTCGGGGAGCTGGTTGTTCTGTGTCCAGAACCCAAGAAAGCATGAGTGGCTCCCCAGGCTCCTGGCTTTCCTTATGGGGCTTCTCTTTGCTGGGGTCTGCCCCTGCTGATGGACCACCCAGAGTGTTTGGCTGGCAGGGTCTCACGGGTTAGTGCACGCAGCCCTGGACAGAGCGGGCAGTTGGGAGGCTTGGGGCTCGGTCAGCCAAACTGGACTGTTTCCTCGGATTGTTGTGTTATATTTATTTCCACTAATCTACTTCTCTTGCCTGTTTATACATTGAAAAGATCTAATAAAACGTATCTGAGACCAGAGCAAATGAAGACCATTTTGGAAAGAAGTATAAAAGGAGCGCTGTCTTGGAATACCTAGCTAATCTGAGTTGCCCTTCAGCTCTGAGTTCCTGCCTTTGAAATCTCTGTTTCTCCTCCCGTTGCCTGTAAAAGCAAGAGTGCGACTTCTCAATGCTAAGCCGAGGCTGGTGGCCTGCCTCTGGGGTGGGGTTTGCACACATGTGCGGATCGAGAGCAGGAAGCTCTTCCTGGCTGGAGGATGCTGGCACTGTAGCTCTTCCATCTAAGGATCCCTGTGGAAAAGTGGGCTGATTCCACCACTTACGTGCCAGGACCCCGGATGCCGAGGCAGGGGAATGCTGCAATCTAAACATTTACATTCTGAAAAATGGGAAATCATCCACTCAGATATAAATTAGCCAGTGCCTGACGGGTTTATTACATCCTGGAATGCTTTCATGAGGCTTTCAGAGGGGTCCGTGTTGCAGGCCCAGGTCTCCAGCTGGGCTTGCCTGTGGCATGTTCCTAGGGAGACCCCGCTGGAAGACACAGGCTGGGAGGACTTGTCCTTAAGTTCCCGTGGGCCCTGATTCATGTGACATGGGAACAAGGAAACACAATGCTGCACCCTGGATGGTGAGGCACCCTGAGCTGTGAGCATCTTAGATCTGAAGGGGCGAGGTTAGTCCGGGAAAAAATGAGGGGGGAGCCAGACATGGAGGCCCAAAGAGAGGTGCTTGGATGATCATGGGGCAGGAGAAATGTGCTGAAATGTGTATATTTCATAACGTGTGCAGCAGGACTCTCGTTGAACAGGAAGAGGGCAAGGAAGGAAGCAAGAAATGAGCAGGAAGGAAGGATCATATGTCCTTTGGGGTTTTCAGACGAACCGTAAGTCCTGGAGGCTGGGCTGGGTGTGAACTCGATGGAGGCTGGCTTAACTCCAACTCACCAAGAGTGGCCTGAATGACACTGAGAGAAAAATTCAGGGAAAGCTAACCGAGTCCCACGCTCAGGACATTGAGGGGGTCTTAGGGAGAAGGTGGGGAAAACACACAGACATAAACACACACACACAATTGTAATGAGCCAACTTATTTCTCTCTTCTATAATTATATGCACTTCCAAATCTATGTAGGTATCTTAGCTCTAAGTAGAACAGATGCTGAATAAATGATTTCCTGGAGGAGTTCAATGTTAATCCTGAGTGAGCTATGACACCAGCTATCTTTTTCTGCTTCAGAGGAAGAATCCCACTTTGTATAGGGGGTTTAACTTGGGAGGCTTTATCCCGAGCAGTGGTTCTCAAACTCGCTTGCATCAGAATCATTTGCATAGCCTGATACAGCAGATTCCTGGGTCCCACCCATCTTTAGAGTTTGATTCATTAGGTCTGGGGTGGGTCCTGGAAATTTGCATTTTTAACAG